CTTGCTTGCTTGCCAACATATCTACCCTTTTTACCATCATAAAACAGAGATGCTACCGAAGACCCATCTAAGTGCATCATTTTGTAAATGATTTTTAATGGGTAGTTTCTCCAACTAAACTACCCATTTACAACCCACTACCCAGAGCAGCAAATGCAGAGGAAAAACTGGCGAATTTGACCAACCCATGTCGAGAATCGCACGAAACAGAGACGCTACTGAAGCACCGAAACATGCGAAAGAGGAATTCACACGAAATAGAGATGCGACTGAAACACGCGAAAGAGGAATTCATGAAAATCGAGAGAGCAGCAAATGCAAAGGACAACCGGCTAGAGAGAGATAGCGAGAGAGCCAGACACTGGGCAATGCAAGATGGAAGAGACGGAGACGAAACCGGCGAACCCGACGGAGACGGAGACCGGGCGATGGAGACGGAGACGGAGACGGTGAGAGTCGGAGAGGATAGAGTATCGGAGATTGAGACTTGAGAGGCGTCGACCAAGAGTGACTGAGTGAGCTTGTGTTGTGAGAAAGTATCCTGATTTAGGATTTTGAATTTTTTAAATTAAAAATTAAAAATATTATATTATATATATTATACCGGTCCGGTCCGGGTGGGCGGGTGGGCGGTTCCACTCCCGGAACCGGGAACCGGACCGGTACCCACCGGTTCCAAAAAATTGGAACCGGGAACCGGACCGAAACCCTTAGAACCCACCGGTCCTGGTCCGGTTCTGGGCGGTCCTGGGCGGGTTGGGCGGGTACCGGGTTTTTTGCACACCCCAATAGTGACGCCATCACCGCACAACATGGGGACTCCCTGCAAGCCATCGCCCAAGACCAGCTAAAATTTCTCAAATCACAGAGCTCCAGCAAGCGAAACCTTTAAAAACTTCCCTAGGCTCATGCAAAGGTGGTCTTGTAGAGGAGAGTTTTAGGGACTTGGCGCGAGGAATTCAGAACAGGGGGCGGATGTGGTGGTGCAGCCGCCATGTGTATGAGAGCGACGGCGAGTGCAAAGGCTGCGTGTGTTTGTTGTTTGCCGCCTTGGCGACAGTTTTGTGTACTTGTCCTCGCTGAAGATTGAGACGCTCGTCTTCCCAAAACGAGCCTGCTTCATTTGGAAAATCACATCCTCATGGTCAAAGAGAGTATGAGCAAAATCCAATCTTCTTGGTTTAGAAGTCAAGGATGCGATGAAGGATGTGAACATATCCAGTATCCTTATTGAACGTAGATTAGAGTCCGATTAATCTTAAAACGATCCACCTCTATGAACTAGATGGGAATGACAGAGTAAGTTCTCCCTCTCCCATTTCGTGTTCATTTTGACTGCCCTTTTTGCGGGTGCAAGCAAATATAAAGTAGTTGCTAAGTTCATTGGTGGATTATTGGAGATGACTCTGAAAGATTTGAAGTGACGAACAAGCTGAATAACAGCAGCTCTGCTCAAGCAAGCTTCTTCTCCTTGTCCCTCTTCCCAAGATACAACTTCCCAGAGACCCGCACAAGAAGCAAGCTCCAGGAACAATCTCGAACTAAGTCATGCTAAAGAGGCATCGGATATTACCTTCTGGCCCTTGTCATCAAAGAAGATTGCAGAGGGCGGTGGTGCTCGAGCGCAAGATGGTGGATGTTGCGAAGCTCGGGGACTCAGAGAAGGAAGCGTTTGTGGAAGCATATTGGGTAGGATCTATGACACATTACTGGTTGTTGTAACCAGTAAAGGAACTAATCAGAAATAATATCTCTAAGAAAGCGATAACAAATTAACTCCGACAAATGCAGCCACTGCACGGAGTGAACGGGTTATTTCCTAACTTTGTGCTAGATATCGACTCTGGAAAGTCTCTAGGCCATCTTCTTTAAGAGATGCAATCTTGGAAACGAGCAAAGGCTTTGTGCGCAAAGTTCCTTTGCCGGGTGCAATGAGGATGAGACGAGTGCGGAGCCTCTGTGGATTCTCAGCTGAAGTTGCATTGGCCGGTCGCCATAGTCGTTTGACTTTACCTTGTGGGAAAAAATTGTACGGGTTGTAATAGAATTAAACAAGAAGTGAGGTAGGGATTACCGAATCTCCTTAAGGCGATTAGTTCCTGTCAATGGTGCTTTGCTGATTTACGAACTATGCCTTCCAATAAACAATACCTCGAACCCGTTTATATTAGCACTTATGCAACCTAGCATGAACACATATCCACTAGTTGATTTCAATTCATTAGAATCCGAAATCCAGTTGGCATCAATATAGTTTTTCTAAAATAGCTAGATATTTTCCATATTGTAGATAATAGTCTTTAGTATTTTTCAGATAACCTAACACTACGTGACCAAGATTACTTGTATATATGCTTAGTTTTCCTATTGAGTATGCAATATTCGGTCTAGTGCAGTTTATGATGTACATTATGCCGTCGATTTCTTGAGAGTACTTTAGTTGCCTAGTACTGTTTCCAGTATTCCTTCTTAAAGTTTGGTGCAGAAGAAAATGATTATTCGCATCTTTAATGCCAAACAACCTTTCATTTACTTTTTCAATGTAATAAAATTTTGTTAAACCTAGACCATTAGAATTCATTAGAATTTTGATGTCAAATATAACATCCACAACACCTAAGTCTTTTATCTTGATGTTCTTCTTGAGAACATTCTTGGTAATTTTGATAACCTCAACGTTATCTCCAAGAATCAACAAGTTATCAATATATAGACAAATAAGTACACATCCATTTGACATGGATTTAATGTACACACATTTGTCACACTTATTGATCCTATGTCCATTTTAGATCATGACATGGTCAAACTTCTTATGCCATTATTTAGGAGCTTGTTTAAGTCGGTCCAATGATTTGACAATTCCACACACTTTGTGTTCTTGTTATTTGACCTTGAATCCTTCATATTGTTCCATTGGCATGTATTTCCACGTTTTCATATTTGTGAACAAAAAAATTTATATGCGCTGCTTTTGATTATAATTGATGAATATGCAATCCACCATTTTAGGTCCCAATTGAGTTTGTTAAGGAGGAGGAATTGCCACCTTGGCTGGGCACCCCCACAATTTAAAAAATTTGTAGGATGGTAACCTTGTTGGTTCAGTAGGACTGGCGGCCCTAAGCAGAACCGACCCGATGTCCTTCCACTGCCAAGAGCGAGAGGTTTTAGGCCTGGAGCCCTCCGCTTTAGTGCACACGAGGTCTGAGCCTTCGCCCTCGAGCCATCGCTCGAACCACACGAACCAACTCCCAGCTTGGAAACGGGTAGGCTAGCAAAGAGCCATGGCAGGTCTAGCCCAACGGATCCGGTCCCGTGTCCCATCACCTTGTTGCCCCTACTAGGGTTACAGCTCTCAAAATTGAGCTCAGCGGCAAAGTCTGTTAAACCATATGCCATTTGACCTCTACTATTATAAAAACCAGTCCCGGGTATATAAGCCATGCGACTTTTACTCGTACCACCATAGACAGTCTCAGCTTGAAGGTTCGCAACATTTGCTACCACAAAACCCGGCCTCGAGGTTTGAACCTCTCCAAACAGCAACAATTGAATCAACCATGGGAACGTCTCCCAAAACATCCTGGATTTATTGAGTACTTAATTGGAATCAGCTATCTAAATTTTTTATTAACCCAACAAACAGTCAGAATTTATAATCGCCTTAAGATTGTAAGATATGTAACATAATATTGTTTGTTGTAACCAGTAAAGAAGCTAATCAGAAATAATAAGTCTAAGAAAGCGATAACAAATTAACTTTGACAAACGCAGTCACTTGATGGAGTGAGAGAAATTTGTGTTTTTTAGTGGTTATCAGTACGAGGATCAGATATTTTGGGAATATGATTATATTGATCTTAGAGATATGCAAATTTGCTCAAAATGATGTTGATTGGGCTTTCTCGTCATATGATTAAAAGGAGAACTGCAATGAGGAGCAAGTTCTGAATGCCCCCTATGTGGATCGACCTTGATCACAAGGATGAGGACAGTGGGGATGCAGCGAAAGGCGGAGCTTTACACACTCGTGGTGGAGTTGCGCAACTGTGGCGGTGGAAGGAATTGGGGAATAGCCACTGGGGGAGTTGCAGATGCAAGAATCGGAAAAAGAAGGAGTCGCGGTTGGACAAAGAATGTAGCACAAAGAAACAAAAAAAGGAACATATTTTTTATTAGGGTTAATACCACGAAAAACCCCAAACTGGTAAATCTGTGATAATTTTATCCAAAACTAATTTTTTGACCACCAAAAACCCCAAACTGGTACACTTGTGACAAATTTATCCTCAGTTTGTTTTCGTTAAATTTTACTGTTAAATTGTTTTGTTAAATGACACACGACAGTTAACTGATGTACTAGTTTTATGTTTTACCCTTCATTTGTCACAGGTGTACCAGTTTGTGATTTTTTGTGGTATTATTTCAATTTAACGGAAGGTAAATTTGTCATAAATGTACCAATTTTGGGTTTTTAGTGGTAAAAAAATTAGTTTTTGGTAAATTTATCATAAGTGTACCAGTTTAGGGTTTTTCGTGGTATTAAGCCTTTTAATTAAGGGGTGGAGGGTGCTGCACAGAGACGAGCCACCGGAGATGACGGCTTGGACAGAGAAGGCGAGGGCGATTGAGGATGACAAGTCGATAACAGTTGAGGTGAGCGATGGCAGTTGAGAGAGCAGGGTGAAGAGAGAGAAAGGATGAGGGGAAAGAGGAAGAGATTTTAGAGTTCTATTTTTTTACAAAAAGGGGTAAATTTGTGCTTTAAGAGTAATTTAGAAAAGAGAATGACAAAGTGACAAGAAAGCGGATAAAGATTGTAAGTGTATCACGCAAGTTGAAATCTAATAACAAAACTTGAGGAGCAGGATATAGGTCCTTGAAAGTGGGCGTACACAGTAATTTATGTGCACCAAAATGCATACCGCAGTTGAAATTTGTCCCTATGTTGGTATTTCCACATCTAATTCATGTTGGAATATTCAACGCGAATTCATTTCAAAAGACGAGAGGGTACGTCTTATGAATATGTAGAAATCTTTGTCATTTTCCTTCTTTTTTTATGTTGCCAAGAATATTTAATCGCTCCAAGCTTTGTCTTGGAGCAAAGGAATCTCGTGGCTGGAGGTCGCCAAGCTCCCCCCAACCCCGCTTCCCTCGATCGTCTTCTCTTCCTCTTTGGACTTTCCCCACACCACCCCGTAGAATCCCATCACAATCACAATCGCTCCTATTAAGCTGCACAAAACCCAAAAGTGATGAACAGAGAGGCAAGTAAAGGACTGATCGGATAATTTTTTTATAATACTTTTGCTTATTCAATGCATGAAAATAATTCTACTAAATGACTTGTTCTTGTCAAGTGACACGAGATATACCCTCACCAGGTAGAACTCATTTTCCTACCCTATGTTGTTTATTTATGTATGTTTGTAATACTAAAATTCTGGTTTCCTAACAGAGAGACTCTGGCAAATCTTCAGAGTTGAGCATAACCATTTGGTTTTAACAAGTTAAGATGTAGAGCAAGGCGATTTTATATTTTAAAAACATCTGTCCATATGCTTGAGATGAGCTCACGAAGGAGCTTTTTCTCTGATGGACGCATCTTTCTTAGTTTCTAGTAATCAACTAGGTTCTTGATTAAAGAGTAAGATGGGGTTTGGGCATTTCGATAGAGAAGAAGAGGGAGTACTTGTACCTTCCAAGGTATAACATCTCCCCTAGAAATATGAACCCCAATCCAATAGCAAATACAATTCCCAAGGGCTTGAACATCGAGACATAAACGGGTCCAATTTTCTTCAGGCACCATGTACACAATGTGAGTCTGAAGACGCCAGCAACCAAAGCCTGCATACACATTAAGCTGACTTTCATCTTCGAACTTGAAGTCGGACCAAAATCTAGGCTGTAGGAGTTGTGATGCTACATGCTTACTGAGTATAAAATAGCGATTAAACCCACATCGACTTTTAGGATCCATGAATGAGGTTCTCTCACTGTAACGAAGGACAATAACCCGGAAAGAATAGTAAAAAAGAACATTGAATAGAACATTATGTTCAGCACCACAGGGTAATCTTTGAGGATAATTGCCTGCAAGATTCGAGAATTGTTTACTCTTCAAGTCTTCTTTCGGGTCGTTTTAGTGTCAATCACATTCTAAGTAGGGATATTGGGACTAACCTGTACGATGTACCATACTGATGTCAAGAAAGCTTCGAACGCGAGGAGAAACCCACCAAGGATCCAATTCGATTGTCGCGAGAGAAGAAAAAGAAGCTGACGAGATTGGACAGACGAAGGAGGCGAAGGTGAGCGGAGAATCGGTGGACCCTTGTAAAGAGTGACTAGGAATGCACCAAGGATTGATGCGATGGTTCCCACAAGCTTGGCTTGGCTGCTCGAGCTTTTCCAATTCACTTTCTCCATCCTAAATTTTTAATTCCATCAACAAATCAAAGAACAAAATAAGTTTATCTCGTAATCATTGTCACCGACATATTGTGCACTGCCGTTTTCTGTCTTTCCTATGAATGTGCTTCTGCCCACTTGCTGACGCACCGGACTTTCTTGAATCTGTCCCATTTCGGGGATTTATTCATATTTGCAGAGCAACCTTATTTTAGGAATTGGAGGGATCCAGCATCATCAGACATAAAGTTATTCAACAATTCATGATCTCTGAGATTAAAAGGACAGATTTTAGCGGTAGCAAAGTGAATCTCTCCGGGCCTGGTTGAAACAGGAACTGCGGGTTTTGCTTTAGGTCAGACCGATGAAAGGCACTCACAACTCTAAGCTGAACCTATGTAAAATCAACCCCCCATCATCAAATAAGCACACCAGCATCTGCTTCTCTCATTTTTTCAAACGAAGGTTCTTCAAGTGCACTTCAGATAGCGAGAAAGAAGAGACAGAGAACCTTGAAATAATGGCGAGAATGAAAGTGAAAGCTGGGACGAGGTTCATCATGGCCATGCACAGAACTGGGGAGCTGTAATCGATGCCGACATACCCGCCCATCTGTGCTGCGAATCTGCATCATCCAAATTACTCAAAAACTCGCTTTGTTTCTCGTCTGAAACTCTCAGCAATCGGTGGAGACCTTTTGCTTCAAAAGAATTCCAAGAAAAGCAAATTCAAAGTCTGCAAATTCATTTGAAATGAAGAAACTTCAATCACTCACCCAACCAGAGCGAGCAAGAAGATCTTGCGAAGGACAGAGAAAGTGAGAGGAGGAGACGACCCTGACCTGCCAAGCAGAGCAAACAAGCAAGACGAGGACTTCAGACCGTTTTCCCCTCTCTTTTCCCCCATAAACCTGACATTGTTAGAGTTAGGGAGGGGTAGACTGAGCACAAACCTGCGAGAGATGATGAAGGGACATGGGAGGAGGACGAGAGAGGAGAGGGCATTACAGTAAAAGACCATGGTGCACTTGTTTATACCATCGGACATGGCCATTTTCAACACCACCATGTTGCTCGCTTGAGCCAGAACCACCATTATCATCCCCACAAACGGCAGTGATCCCCTCGCTCTCCCCTCCATCTCTCTCTCTCTCTCTCTCTCTCTCTCTGAGTTCAAGATTAGTACAGAATTTCAATGATAATGATGATTAAAGTATGTATAATAGATGTGGAATACAAATATTTCGCCCCAAAGAGCGGAGGCGAGCTTGATTGATGTGGCTTTTATCAGCTTATAATATATTAAGTGTGTATAATTGCCACTACAGGATGATAGTGCTAAATATAGTTCTTCTGCTTTGTTTTTTTGAGCAGGCCCCATCGTTCAGGCCAATCCAAAATTGGGTTGTTTCTAGTTCATTATTACCATATTGCCTTTAGGGTCGTTCAAATGGGTGGGTCGGGTAGAAAATGATCCGATCCAATTCAACTTATTCAACTCGTTTTGATTCATTTATATGCAATACAAATTCAGTGACCCCCACGTGATCTGTACACAACCCACACCCAACCTCATCAACATTACTAAAGTACATAAATATTTAAAAATAAGAACTTCTATGCTATGCATATGGTGTGTAAAAGATAAAAAAATTTTAGTAAATTTATAAGGTTCCAAATAAGTTTGCGAATTTTTCTTTATTGCAAATCTTTTGAGTTTCACAATGAAGTTTCCAACATCTCTTAAAATAACTAAGTCAATAAATATTGACACTTAAAATCATAAATTTTCATGATTTTCCAAGGCATGAAAGATCATAAATTTTTTACTATTTTTCAATTTTGAAAAAAGAAGAAGATTATAAGTAGAAGATAAAACTAGAAAATAAGTTGCCCCACACTCGCAAACCCGTAACCTAAACCTGAAGACAAGTGAAGGGGGTGCTGGTGGGTTGGGCCTTAGACCCATTTGTATTAGCACTTATACAAACAGGGCTCTGTTGAACTTTTCTCGAACGTGCACATTTAAAGATCAAAATAGTTTTCTAAACTTAAAACGTTGCATATTATTTCTCTCTTTCAAAGAAGAATAGTTTATTTTAATTTATAGAGTTAGAAAATGAAAAGACATGAATTGAAGAGTTATGAATGAAAGGACATGAACGGACATGTCTATTGAAGACAATTAAAAATGTTGCAGAAAATTGAAAGGAATGAACTAAAGAGTCATGTCATTTAAAGACAATTGAAATGATTGCAAAAAACTAAAAGGAAATGAACTGAACAGACATGTTATTTAAAGAGAATTAAAATTGCTACAGAAAACTCCCTCCAGTAGAATTTGATAGGACAGTTCCTGCAGTGTCACGGGTTCTATTTTACTCAGTTTTGTTGAACCATTAATAACCCATAATTACAACAATCCCCCATATTAATGGATAAATAAAACATTTTTTACTTGAAGAAATCTAAGTGTGAATATGGAAATATACTGCATCAAGATAGGTAGCTTTCGCTTTGAACCTTCTCTAGCAAGAGCATATCTGACTTACTTAACTAGTCAATGAACTAAGCATTGAATCATCAGTTGTTAGTGTAAGCTTAGAAATTAGACCTCACACAAATTATCTTCGATTAAGATTGGTTCTCAGTTGTGTTAATTCTTTTTGTCCTGAACCTCTCGGGATTCGTGCGTGATTTAGAAAATTTAGCTTTTAAAGATTTCATAGAGTTGACCAAATCCATGCATATAGGTGCATTCGTATCAAAGGTATCTTATCATACCGTACTAGGATGTTTTATTCCAAGTTATAGGAATCATTAAACGCATAGTGTACCCTTTAAATGTTGTATGATGCACCGTAACATCATAGGAATGTGAGACAGTGTTCACACTAGAGTTTCCAAAATTTATGTTGTCCTACTAAACATAGTCCATGGAATCTCCAATCGCTAGGTTAGATTTTCACTTCTAAACCTCTTTATTGATCTAAGGGTTTAACCACAATCCTTTAGATGCATAGTTTACCTGCTCTCTTGACAAAGCTTTTTTTAGCGGATCCACAATGTTTTCCTATGACTTCACAAAATCTAAAAAAATTATTCCATTTGAGAACATTTTTCTGACGGTATTATGTCTATGATGAATGTGTCTAGATTTATCGTTATATATTACCTTATGTGCTCTTGCAGTCACTACTTGATTGTCACAGTGAATACTTACTGCAGGCACAGATTTTAGCCACAATGGAACATCCTCTAAGAAGTGTCGAAGCCACTCTGATTATTTAGCAATTTTATCCAAAGCAATAAACTCATATTCCTAGAACGTGCTATTAAAGTTTGCTTTGAGGATTCACACGATACTGTAGCACCTCCTAGCGTGAACACATATCCGTTAGTCGATTTCGATTCATCAAAATCCGATCACTATAGTCCCTCTAAAACATCTGGATATTTGCCATATTGCAAAATATAGTCTTTGGTATTTTTCAAATAACCTAACACTTTCAATAGAGCATTTCAATGCTCGTTAGTAGGATTACCTATATATCTGCTCAGTTTTCCTATTGAGTATGCAATATCCGGTCTCGTACAATTCATGATGTACATGATGCTGTCGATTTCTTGAAAGTACTCTATCTGCTTTATACTATTTTTAGTATTCTTTCTTAAAGTCAGGTGTGGAAGAAAATGATTATTTGCATCTTTAATGCCAAATCATTTAAACCTCTCGATTACTTTTCAATATATTGAAATTATTTTAAACCTAGACCATCATAATTTTCTTAGAATTTTGATGCCGAGTATAACATCCGAAACACCTAAGTCTTTATTTCAGAGTTCTTGTTAGAACATTCTTGGTGATTTTGATAACCTTAAAGTTATCTCCAAGAATCAGCAAGTCATTTGACGTGAATTTAATATACACATATTTGTCACACTCATTTGTTCTATACCCATTTTGGATCATCACACGGTCAGACTTTTCATGCCATTGTTTAGGAACTTGTTTCCATACAATAATTTGACAAAAATTTGTGTTTTTGTCCTTTGACCTTGAATCCTTCAAGTTGTACCATTAGCATGGATTTTCACATTTTTAGATTTGTGAATAAAAAATCTATATACACTGTTATGTTGATCATAACCGATGAATATGCAATCCACTGTTTTAGGTCCCAACTGAGTTTGTTTAGGAGGAGGAATTGCCACCTTGGCTAGGCATCCCTACAATTTCAAAATTTGTAGGTTGGTAACCTTGTTAGTCAATACGACTCAGCCTATTGGCCATGGCAGGCCTGAGCAGTACCAATCCGTTGTCCTACTACTATTGAGAGCGGGAGGTTTTCGCCCTTGAGCCCTCTGCTCTAGTGCACATGAGGTCCAAGCCTTCGCCCAAACCACATGAACCAACTCCTGGCTTGGAATGGGTGGGCTAGCAAAGAGCCATGACAAGTCCGGCCCAATGGATCCGGGCCCATGTTCCACCTTGTTGCCCCACTAGGGTTACAAGCTCACGCAACTAAGCTCGGCGGCAAAGTTTGTTGAACAATTCCTCCATAAACAGAACCATATGCCATTTGGCCTGTACTATTTTGGAAACTAGTCCCGGCCTCCGGGTATATTAGCCGTGCGACTTGTACCCGTACCACCATAAATGGTCTATGTCCGCAGGCCTGCAGCATTTATTGCCACAAAACTAGTCCTTGAGGTTTTGAACCTCTCTAACGGTAGCGATCGAATCGACCATAGGAACATCTCCGAAGACATCCCGGACATTATTGGGTACTTGATTATTATCAGCCATCTCAATTTTCTAATAAACCCAACAAAAAGACTTTATAATCTTCTTAAGGTTTTAGGATATGTAACCCAATCTATTTGTTGTAATTAGTAATGAAACTAATGAAAAATAATGACTCTAAGAAAGCAATAACAAATTAACTTTAGCAAATGCAGTCATTGGATGGAGTGAATGGGTTAATGCCTAACATTGTGCTTGACATCGACCAGGAAAGTCCGTAGGCCATCTTCTTTTAGAAATGTAGTCTCAGAAACAAGGAAAGGCTTTGAGCGCGAGAGTTCCTTCGCCTGGTGACGAGGCAAAGACGTGTGCGGAGCCTCCATGGACTCTCGGTTGAAGTTTCATTGGCTGACCGCCACATTCATTTGACTTTGCCTTGCATCATGTGGGAAAAAACCAAACGGATTGGAATAGAATTAAATAGGAGGTGAGGTATGGATTACCGAATCTCTTTAAGGCAATTAGTTCCTGCCAACAGTGCTTTGTAGCTTTAGGAACTATGCCCCCAAGATATAACACATCAAACCCGTTTATATTAGCACTCATGCAACTACGACTTAGTCGAACTTTTGTGGAATCGGCACACTTAAAGATTGAAACAGACCCACCCATGGGTAGCTCAGTTGGTTAGGGCGTACTTGGGATTGTGTGATTAGGCGCACTGGTCCCAGGTTCGATTCTCCAGCTGAGCACTTGTGATTTAAGTGGGGCCAGCACTGGGTTCTTTGTATTTAGTCTCTCCGAGGAATAGTCGAGTGTACGCGCAATGTTCTGGCAAGATACCTCGGTTACCAAAAAAAAAAAAGATTGAAATGCAGTTTCTAAATTCATAACATTGTATATTATTCTTCTCTTTCAAAGAAGAATAGTTGATTTTAATTTATAGAGTTAGAAAATGAAAAGACATGAATTGAAGAGTTATGAATGAAAGGACATGAACGGACATGTCTATTGAAGACAATTAAAAATGTTGCAGAAAATTGAAAGGAATGAACTAAAGAGACATGTCATTTAAAGACAATTGAAATGATTGCAAAAAACTAAAAGGAAATGAACTGAACAGACATGTTATTTAAAGAGAATTAAAATTGCTACAGAAAACTCCCTCCAGTAGAATTTGATAGGACAGTTCCTGCAGTGTCACGGGTTCTATTTTACTCAGTTTTGTTGAACCATTAATAACCCATAATTACAACAATCCCCCATATTAATGGATAAATAAAACATTTTTTACTTGAAGAAATCTAAGTGTGAATATGGAAATATACTGCATCAAGATAGGTAGCTTTCACTTTAAATCTTCTTTAGTAAGAGCATATCTGACTTACTTAACTAGTCAATGAACTAAGCATTGAATCATCAGTTGTTAGTGTAAG